GGGTGGGTAAGAACCTAGGAGAATCAGGGGTGAGTGGGCAGAAAGGAGGAGACATTGGAAGCTGCCCACGGTTGTCAGTCATCGAAGATATGGCAAGTCTCCCTAGACAGACTCAGAGGGATCCTAGTGATAACTGGGCCAGGCGTGTTGAAGACCACCCTGAGGATGAGGACTGAGAGGAGCCTGTCCAGACTGTGTCACCTGTCACCAGGCTGGTCTGTGACATAACCGGTAGTAACCCTGATGTCTTTGTCACGTGATGCCCCTCAGTTCCTCCATCCAGAACAGTTGATATCACGAGAGGATGAAAAGACAGGAATCCAGCAAGGTTTCAGCTGGATTTATGTCAGGCTAATGGCTCATATGCTCGGCAGTAAGAAGACAAAAATGCATCTCTAGTTGACCAGCACGGAAACCCAATGAGTTACACCGCCCAAGCAGCCCAGACTCGCACCTGTGGAGGTCGGACAACCACCCCAGCTCAGAGCATCCTGAGGCAGTCCTGGACAACCCAGAGGAGTTCGGAGTTAGACCACAGGCGAGGCCTTGGGCCCACAGTGGCCAAGAAAAGCACAGGCTATTTCAATCCAGAGTGTCACTGTCCTCTCCTCCGTCTGTCACCTCCTGAATTTCACAGCCACCGTGGGGCATTTCTACGGGAAGGTAGCGGCATCCGGTTTCTCTGGAACGTGGCTTATATGAGGTGAGAATGCTGTGTTCACGGGAAATGTGTCAAAATCGGGGTGGTGTGTCTCCCCACTCCCTAAACTTCACTGTTTCCCAGAAAGCTGTCTGTGACAAGGGCACAGTTGGAACAGATGAGGTTATAGAGACATCCCTTGTACCTCTTCCTACGCCCAGGATGAAAACTAACCTGGTACAAGAAAATGAATTGAAGTCCCAAGTGAACAAACCCTAAGGGCCACCTGGTGGCCCACAGTTCCATTAGAATCTCTAGGCCATTCACAAACCTTACCTGTCAGGGTCCCACTGCTTGGGACACTGGGACAGAGAACTCTAGGAATTTAAAAGAGAACACTTAAGATTCCCACTGGGCCTGTGAGATAACTCAGCAGGTAAAGGTCCCTTCCACTAAGACCTGAGTTCAAACCCCAGGACCCACATAGTAGAAGGAGAAAATGAACTCTCAGAGTCATCCTCTGACTTCAAGACACAAGCACACACACACACACACACACACACACACACACACACACACACACACGTGCAAAATAAACAAACAGAACCAAAAGAATGTAAGGAGTCCCATCTCCCAGAAGACTTGGAACTCCAAATAGGATTCAGACCATGGATATGATTTAAATTTTACATTTTGGATGAAGAAACTGAGGCCCAAGGAAAGGGGGTGATCTGTGAAAGGTCACACAGCTAATTGGTGTCAAAAGCTGGAATATATTGTGCAGCAGCCTGTATTTCGTGAGCCTTGATTCACTGACCTGGTCACCTCAGCCGGCACACAAGATCTAAAGCCTCCAGCTAGTGTTCATCTGGACTCACGTGTACAGATGCCATAGGATGGGAGACCCAGGAATAAGTCCGCACGGCTCCAGCCACCCAAGTTCTGACAGAGGCACTTAAATACAACAGAGTTGGATGTCCAAGTGCAGAAGAATGGAATCAGAACCACCTATGTCTCTCACTTCACAAAAAGTAATTCAAAATGGATCGAAGACCTTAATTAGACCTGAAACTCAGAAAAACACTTTGCTGCATACACCCAAGCAAGAACTTTCTGAGTGGGACCCCAACAGCACAGGAAATAACCCCAAGGAAACCACTGCCAGACTAAAGTGACGGCCTGTAGATGGGAGATGAATCTTTGCCAACTACACTACAGATTGGAGATTGATATCCAGGATATGTAAAGAACCACAAAAATTAAAAATAAAACAAAAAGTCCCGTTGTGGGATATTTTGATCACACTCTGACACTCCCGAGACTGCCAATAAAGTTGACCTTGAATCAGAAGGCAGAACGAGTTATTGGCTGACGAAACTAGCCACAGAGGTTTCAGGGGACCCAGGACAGATAGAGAGACACAGGAAGCAGTAGGGAGGGGCTTAGAGAGAGACTCGGCCCTCTTTTGGATGGAGGCAGGAGAGAGGAGATCATTGGTCACTTCACCAATGCTTCTCTGGTCAGTCAGGTTCTGACCCCGATCGATATCCGACTGCTGAGTTTTTAGTGATAAAGAATAATTAGATAAACACTTCACCTGGTGCCTCAAGTTGGGCACCAAATGTAGCATGCTTTCTTGTCAGGACAGCCAGCCCACAAATGACAACACGGAGACTTATTATTAATTATGTAAGCTTGGCCATTAGCTTAGGCTTGTCTCAACTAGCTCTTATAACGTAAATTAACCCATTTACACTAATCTATGTTCTGTCATGTGATGTTACCTCTCATCCATCTTGCACCTCCTGTTTCCTCTCCGTCTCTGGCTGGTGACTCGGCCTTTCTTTATCTCAGAGTCCTCTCCGCCCCTGGAAGTCCTGCCTAACCTCTTCCTGCCTAGCTATTGGCCACTCAGTTCTTTACTAAATCAATCGGATTTAATAAATTTGCCTTGGCAAAGACACATCTTCACAGTGTAAAACAAAACAAAGTCCAGTCCAGAAAAGAGCTAATGACCAGGATGCACAGCTATCAAATGAGGAAATATAATAAGCACTGGAAAAGCATTCATCATCCTTAACCATCAGGGAAATGTACATTAAAACTAATTGGAGACTGCATTTCACTCTAGTCAGAATGTGTGGGGGAGAAACGCGCTACTCACCACAGATGGGGATGGGAATCTGTGTAACCACTGTGGAAATCAATATGAACGTGCCTCAAAAACAAAAACCTGAAAATAGAGCTGCAGACAAACTATCTATGTCTACTGCTCATGGGATATACCAAAGGACCCTAAGGAAACACCCAGAGGGGTAGGATAGGTCAGTCACTAAAGGGTTTCCCTTGCAAACATGAGAACCTGAGTTCTAGCCCCAGAACACAAGTAAGAAGCCAGGTGTAGGCTCACACAACTATAATCCCAGTGCTGGGGATAGAGACCAGAGGGTCCCTAAGACTGTCTCAGTTGAACCAGTTGGCATTCCTGGGTATGATTCCCAAGGCTCTCTTGGCATATATATATATACACACACACACATACATATATATATATGCATACGTATACATATATATGCATCTGCATATGTATGAACAAGCACACACATACACATTCACTATAAAAAAAACTGTTGAGATATGTGCACACCCGTGTTTACAGTTGAGCTGTTCACAACAGCCAGGAGGTGCAACAGCCCCAGCGGTCATTAGCAAAGGACAGATAAAGCAAAGGGGGTACGCGGGATTGTATGCAGCCGTAAAGGGAAACTAAGTCATGACATTTGGAGGGGAGGGGTACAACTGGAACTGTCACGTTAAGCAAAATAGGCCAGACACAGAAAGACGACTATTGTATGCTTTCTCTCATATACAGAACCATGTATGGATGCACGTGTGTGTGTGTGTTTATATATGTGGGTGGGCACACTAGAAAGGGAATCATGAGAGAAGAGGGAGCATTCCAAGAGAAAAGGGGGGTATAGACAAGGGGTGGAATAGGTGTGATGAGAAGACAGAAGGGGAAACTAAGTCAGGGAAGAAAGAACCAGATGAAGGGAGAAGGGGGCACAGAGGGACAAATGAGTGTGGTGATATTTTGTGCTCTAACAAATAAAATTTACCTGAGGATCAGAGGACAGAGCCAGCCACTAGATTAGACATAGAGGTCAGGCAGTGGCGGCACACACGCCTTTAATCCTATCATCCGGGAGGCAGAGATCCATTTGGATCTCTGTGAGTTCAAAGCCACCCTGGACTATATGAGATTAATCCAGTCTAAAAGAGAAACAGAGCCAGGCAGTGGTGGCACACACCTTTAATCCCAGCACTAAGGAGGTGGAGACAGGAAGTGATATGGCTGGGCAGAGAGAGGAATATAAGGCAGGAGGAGACAGGAGCTCATGCCCTTTTGGCTGAGGACATTCAGTCTGAGGATTCATGGAGATGGGATCTCACCTCCCTTTTGTCCTGAGGATTCGGTAGTGGTGAGAAGTTTCTCTAGTGGCTTGTTCCTTTGTCTCTCTGATCTTTCAGCATTTACCCCAATATCTGGCTCTGGGTTTTATTATAAGACAAATTAGGATTCATGTAACATATGAGAACACAGTATAATGACTTGAGCGTATAAGATGCCATGGTGAAACCCATTGTTTTGTATACTAACCCAAAACTAAAAACATGTACATAAACAAGATGGAGCTGTCTAAGAGTAATTAGGAAGTCACATTTCAATGTCCATATTTAAAAATGTCCAAGTATTTATTGTTGTATTGTATTTTACATGTTCAACGTATCAAATGTGTATTACGATAGCATCCTTGTCTAAAGATAACTGACAGTAGGCAGAATTACCAAAGAATAAAATGGGAACTGAATTTTCATAGGAAGTAACAGAGAGGAGCCAGGCGGTGGTGGTGGTGCATGCCTTTAATCCCACCGCTCGAGAGGCAGAGGCAGGTGGATCTCAGTGACTTCGAGGCCAGCCTGGTCTACAGAGTTTCAAGACAGCCAGGGCTACAAAGAGAAACCTTGTCTCAAAACAATAAAAAAAATTGTTTTTAAAAAGCAAAAAGATAAATGGAAACATTGTCTCAAAAACTGAAACTATACTTTGTATTTACTGTTGCTGTGACAAGTGAGTTCTTAGAATTCACCTTCAAGTTACTAACAGTGAGCTGGTTTTTTGGGGTTATTTCCCCATAACGGCTGGCTGCATCTTCTGTCTCCCATTTGCTTTTCAAAAAACGATGCCAGAGAGATAGGTATCTGCATGACCATCAGGAGCTTCAGGGATCCACACCCCCCCTCTAGGGCTTCTCTCAGTCCTTCCTTGTTCAGACCCTTGTCTCCTCTTCCCAAACAGTATCCCTGGAGCCGTTTCTGAAACCATCCGGTCAGACCCTCTCACCTCACAACTTCACGAAGATTCTGCACCGTTTGAACGCTCTACAGTATCGATTATCCAGCGGTTCACGTGCCTTTGCGTATTTCCACGGATCATTGCAATTCGTGAGGGACGGATGAAGTGACGGGAGTGCCAGAGACAGACGCCACCATGAAGTGGGAGTGACATTGAATGGGGCTGACTTGTCACCATGGTTGGTTCTTTAGTTCTTGAATGAGTATGTCCAGACACAACAGAACAGTCAGGCTAGCACGTCTGTAAGGCACGGGGGACCTGTACAATCACTGCTCAGATGACGGGGACACCCTACACTGGGTGGTGTGTTGCCCTCAGATTAATATGGGGCCGGGCGGTGGTGGCGCACGCCTTTAATCCCAGCACTCGGGAGGCAGAGCCAGGCAGATCTCCGTGAGTTCAAGGCCAGCCTGATCTACAGAGCGAGCTCAGCCTCCAAAACTACACAGAGAAACCCTGTCTCGAAAAAATACCCAAACAAACACAAAAGATTAATATGGACATGAACCCCTGTCATCTTGACAAACAGAAAAGGGCAGGTTCAGCATACCATTGCTCTGGACACACTCTTGACATGTCTGGTAACTAACAGGCTTCATCCCTGAAGACTGTGGTTGACACATAACTGTGCTGGGCCAATCACTATGGCCTATCCTGTAAGGTGGGTAATGGGTCATTCTTCCCCCGTGAGTGAAATTCCGTGTGCGTGGTGTGTGTGTTGTAGGTGTGTGTGTGTGTGCATGTCTGTGTATGTGTGTGCATGTCCTTGTATATATGTGGGCATATGTGTGTGCATGAGTGTGTTCATGCCTGTGAAGGCCAGAGGACAACCTCAGGTGTCATCCTCAGACATGCTATCCACCTTGTTTTGTTGAGGCAGGGTCTCTCTTTGGGGCTCCCCAGTTCAGCTAGGCTGGCTGGTGGTGAGCCCCAGAGGTCCACCCATCTCCACCTCCCCATTTCTGGGATTACAAGCACCGTCTGCCATCCTGACATTTATGAATTTGGGGAACGTGGCTCCTCAGCGCTTTACTGAGCATTCTCCACAGCCCTAAAACTCTCTTGCTAAACAAGCGCTTTCTCAGCTGGTCTGAAGCCCGGCAGCTATCCCTACAAACTAGATTTGTCTATAGCTGCCTGGAAACCGCGGGTGACAGTCACAGCTTAAAGGCTATATTAATGGTCCATAGTCTCCCCTAACCTACAGTGTTAGCTGTCTGCGGCCAACCACATTCTAAAAACACTAAAAGCTGCAGTGTGGGAATAATCAGCAATCAGTTCATCAGTTCTGAGTGGCGTGGTGTTAGTTGTTCCATATTAGTGGTAGTCATTGTTGGTAATCTCTAGTCTCTTCTGTGATCATTCATCAGTTGAATTTATCATGGTGTCCATAACACACAGGGCTCAGCATTGTCGGCGGCTTCTGCCTCCCCCTGGGTTCTTAGATGCCATCTACTCCTGACGATAAAGAAGGGCACAGCCCCTTCTGTTCTCACAGCCTGGCATTTGTGGATGTTTTTATTCAGATTTATCTACAGATTGGCAGTGGCAGCTGTTTTTATGGCTCTTCTTGTCCTGGGTTCTCACCCAAAGCTGCTGAATGGATTTCCCTTCTGTTACCAAACTTCCTTCCCTGGGGAGACATAAACACCATCCCCCTCCCACTAAAGACCTAACAGCAAACCAAAGTTTGATTCCACCGAAGTTCAACCCGGAGAACCAATGAGTTCATTGGGCTCACATACAGATCATGGGTGAGGGGTTACTTATGGGAGGGTGGGGGACCCCAAGGCCGCAACACTGGCGAGTCTTTACCCAGCGTGGATGATGGCTTCTAAAGCAGCCAAGTGATAGATATCCCAGCTGGTAGCACTATGGGGGGAGTGATGGAACCTTTAAGAGATGAGGCCTGGCTGGTCGAACTGACTCAGAAGGGACAGGCCTGTGGCTCTGGCTCCTGTCTGTGGCTGCTCTATGACTAGCTACGAGCTCTTGCACCAAGGCCAGAGCCCCGGCCACCATTGTTCCCTTGCTAGGAAACTGGGCCCAAACAACCCCTCCCCTAAATTGCTTCTTGCCAAGTGTTTAGTCCCAGGGGTGATAAAGGTAACTACCACACACTCTCTGATTTACAATCTCTACAGCTTTGACCCTTGGACATTAAACGAGCCTATAAGCTTTGCTCTCCATATCGACTCGTCAGCCACATCGCTGTCACTGTGTGGCTACTGTGTCTTAAGACGCAGACTACAGTTAGAAATAGGTTTGTTGGCTTCAGGCGGTTGAGTCTGAACTACCTTCCTTCTGGTGCTTCAGGGGGGTCACTGTCAGTCCAAGGTCATGATATATGAAAGTGGCTCTTTTATCCCTTCCTTTACCTAATGGCAGGTGTCTCCTGGATGACAACTGGCCCCACTAGCCCCAACTCTATCGGCCTCCATGGCACCACACGATGTCACACACAGAATTAACTTACTCATGTGACCAGCAAGTTTACTAGGTGGCTAGAAGTCTCTGGAAGGAATGTGGTAGCCTTGCGATCACCTCATACCAGCCAGACTCTCCAAAGTTCTCTGCTTGGAGACCTTCCAAGGTTGTGAGAGCAATTTTCCACTTTGATGTGCCAAGTATCATCGTGGGTGATGCTGAAAATTGTTCCACAGATAGTTCTGGGTCATGTGCCAACGTAATTTCTCATGAACTGAACAAAACTGCTCTCACAGCATTGAAATGCCTGTATTTTATCTGTAGAGGAAATGGCAGCAATTATTCCTCCCACCTGGGTCACACGGAAGTTCTACCATCGGCAAAGTGACCCCAGTGATCCAGAACGGTAACAACACTGATGCATTCCGTTCCTATACTTCAGAATCTGACTGTGGAACAGTCCCCCTGTGTATGGAGGCCTCAGAGCCCCGGGAAAACTGAAAAGCTCTTCCTCTCCCCTGAAGCTGCATCAGATGTGACAGCCCATCACTTAGAATCTAAAGGATCCCAACATAGAAGTTGTATCTGTACACTGTAAAATAGTTTTTAAAATCTAAATAAAACCCCCTTAGAGAAAAATATGCCCTACTGAGCTAAGACCACGTAGAATGCCCCAGAAAATCCAGTCACTAATAATCGGAACATGTAAAAGATTGAAGATGAGGGTCTAGGAAGATGGCTCAGCGGATAAGAGCATTTGATGAGCAAGTGTATGGACCCAAGTTTGAATCCCCAGCACTCATGTAAAGAGATGAGTATTGCTGTGTGTACAGGCGGGAGGCAGAGACAGGAGGATCACAGGGAATGCTGGCCACCAGCCTTGCTCCAGGTTGAGAACCCCTGTCTCAAAGGAATAAGGTGGAATGTGGTAGAGCGGGTATCAGGCAGCCTCCTCTGGCCTCTGTGGGGCACAAAGGCATGTACGCTCTCTCTCTCTCTCTCTCTCTCTCTCTCTCTCTCTCTCTCTCTCTCTCTCTCTCTCACACACACACACACACACACACACACACACACAGAGTTCGTAAAGACTCACACCATATTAGAGTCTTACTTTTTCACTCTGGTTGATTGTGGGAGTCTGGGAAGCACGTTTATCTACTGCTGATTAACAAAGTATTCCTGGGCCTTAAGGCTCCCATAGTGTGGGCTCAGAAACCAACAACTGCAAATGGGTGAGCCCTGGGTCTCACTTCCAACAACTATTGAAAGCGGGTTCTTGGAAGCATCAAATGGCATCTTAACAAAAAAGAGCCAGCAGAGGAAGAATTTTCTGGAAACTAGAAGAAAATAATTTTCTTTTTTTTTCTCTTTTCAGTTTCTGTTTGTTTGTTCTGTTTTGTTCTGTTTTGTTTTTTTGAGACAGGGTTTCCCTGTGTTGTTTTGGTGCCTGTCCTGGATCTCCTTCTGTAGACCAGACTGGCCTCGAACTCACAGATATCCGCCTAGCTCTGCCTCCCGAGTGCTGGGATTAAAGGCGTGTGCCGCCACCGCCCGGCAGGAAATAATTTTCAAATTTAGAAATCCACGGCTCAGGCAAGAAAGGGTATGTTTGCTGTGGCCTGAATCATGGCCCAGCTGCTCAGGTGGGTTGAAAGGCTTATTTAAATCCAGAACAAAATTTTGAAAGATGTCAAAGAGAGTTGGAAGCCTGAGAATTCTGGGTGGTGGAAAAGGAAGAGATGAACAGTAACAGTCTGAAAATTTTTTAAATCCTACCTGCAGATTATTCAGTCTTGGAGCAGGCCAGACTGAGCAGGATCTCATAAAATCCTTACAACTGAGGAGCAGGGGGTCCCTCTAAGAAGGGAACATGGCTTGTAGCTGTGGTCAGCTCAAATGAAGCTCGGGTACAATCACGTGTGGAATGCCCGAGAAGCTGCTAGCTCTTGGCATCTGTCCTCCACCCCTGGAGTATGAACAGAACAATCCGGAGGAGCCAGGAGGGTTTGGGGGTTTTTTGTTCGTTTTTTGTTTTTGTTTTTGTTTTGTCTTGTTTTACTCAAAAAAATGGGGCTGGAGAGATGGCTCTGTGGTAAACAGCACCTACTACCCTTGCAGAGGACCAGGTTTCAGTTTCCAGCACCCACATGGTGCCTCACAACCATCTGTAACTTCAGTTCCAGGGGATCTGACGCCCTCTTCTGGACTCCTCAGGCACTGCACACATGTGGTGCACATACATGCATGTAGGAAAAACACTCATACAGCTAAAATTAAAATTTAAAAAAATCTTTTTTCTTAAATCTGAGAAAGTGTTTATTGTCTCCAGAGTCCCCATTCCTAGCCTATCTGTAAAGACCCCAGCAGGAGGAAGTCTGGGGGTTGCATGTCCTGCTGTGATACCATCTCCTCCCTTCTCTGATGGAATGGGCATCAGGTAGACAGAACACGGTCAGCAATTTCCTACTGAGTATGTGCAGCCAGTGATCAGGAACCCAGGCCAAGCAAAGCCACTAACTCAGTCCTGAGCCTCTTGGGACCTTGTGCTGTATGTATCTTCCTGGAAGGTTTCCAGAGTTCCCTAGAACTGACTGGATCTACAGAGCCCTCTGGGAAGGGTCCCAAGACTAGTCCAGAGACTCGGTGTGCTCTGACCCCATGTCTTCCCTTCTCACTGTTCTCCAACCCTCTAGTCTGCTGGTGTGGTTGATCCCATGAACTCCAGGACTCACGTCTAAAGGTCTCCCCTGGGGTCACGTTCCAGAACAACACCTTGGCAAACAAGATGGCTCCAACTGGCCACGTGATATTTCCTTCATGGGATCCTGGGATCAGACCTCTGGGATGGTGCAGACAGGGTGATTTAGGTTGTTCCTTATTCATATTAGATGTAGAACAAGCTCAGGGCTCTGGGCTGCTTGCTCTTAGACCTGCAACCCTTATTTATGGCCATAGACTGACACATGTCCTTCTATGTTGTGACTACATAGAACTCTCAGGCCTGGGGTTTTCAACATCAAGAGTAGCAGGATGGCTACCCAGGTGTCTTAGTTAGTGTTACCATTGTTACAATGAAACACCATGATGGCTACCCAGCTGTCTTAGTGTTACTACTGTTACAATGAAACACCATGATGGCTACTCAGCTGTCTTAGTTAGTGTTACTACTGCTACAATGAAGCACCATGACCAAAAGCAAGTTGGGGAAGAAAGGGTTTAGTTTGCTCACACTTCTGCATCATTGTTCATAGTTGAAGGAAGTCAGGACAGGAACTCACACAGGGCAGGAGCTGATGCAGAGGCCATGGAGGGGTGCTGCTTACTGGCTTGCTCCCCATGGCTTGCTCAGCCTGCTTTCTTATAGAAGCCAGGACCACCAGTCCAGGGATGGCACCACCCACCATGGGCTGGACCCTCCATCATCAATCACTAATTAAGAAAAAGCCCTACAGGCTTGCCTACAGCCTCATCTTATGGAGGCATTTTCTCAGTTGAGGTTCCCTCCTCTCAGATGACTAGCTGGTGTCAAATCGACACAAACTAGCAAGTACAAGTGACCGCTTGTCAGCTTGACACACAAACACATCGCTTCTCAGTTAGAACATTTCCCTTCTCATTTGTCCCCAAGATGACATGATAATATTAAAGTCACAACATAAAACATAAATAACTTTAAAAGCCTCACAAATTCTTTACAGATTTAAATACATTAAAAGTTCAATCTCTTTTTTAAAAAAAAAAATCCAAAGTCTCTACAAAACTCCACAATCACTTTTAAAAGTTCAAGCCTCTCAACTGTGGGCTCTTGTAAAATCAAAAGTAAAGTTAAATATTTTCTTGCCTCAAGAGGAACTTAAACTAGCCAGCATGACAGGTGAACCACCTACCTGTCCAGCGTCTCTATATCTATCTATCTATCTATCTATCTATCTATCTATCTATCTATATCTACCTATCTATCTATCTATCTATCTATCATATATATATATGGAACCCCTGTGGGGTAAACACATCTACTCCAGGGTCCTTTTGAGACCTGTGCTCCACAGCATCAACAGCCCTCCTGATGGATGCTTTGTTTTGCCTCCAGTCTCGAAACAATGAGATTACCCGTCATCCCTCTGTTTGGGTGCTGACATCCTGCTTCTCCAGGCTGGTCTTAAATCATGTAAGAGGAGCAAAGGGCATTCTTCAAATGTGGACCACTCATTTTCACCTTACCCACTAGTGATGATACGTGGAAGGGAGGGTAACGTATGCCAGCGTCAGAGGAGATCGTATTCCAGGAATAAGCCTAAGCAGGTCAAAGAAGAAATCATTGCAAAAATGCACTGTCTGTGTGTTGTCAAATTTCCACTGTTTAGCTGACTGGGAAACAACTTCCCACACAATCTGTGATGTGCGATTTTGGTCATTATTATAACGCAGCACAGACTCTCCTTGTAGGGAGAGTCCTTGGAAGCCGTTAGCCGCAAGGACAGGTGTGGAAAATGCTGTGTGGTGAGGAATGATGGAACCAAGGGCATTGGGGAACTTCAGCGGCAAGTTGATCTATGGCTTCAATACTAACAGGTCCCAAAGGGCCAGAGGATTGTGAGCAATATCTGTGCTGGTATTTTCTCCTAGCGATAGAAAATATGAAACTATCCAGCATGGGCAGATTTGGCAATAAAGGACACTAAGAGGCAGCTGCTGAGGTTGACTGTGATGATGTGGAGCATGGATGCTGAAGAGCCTCAGCTTGTGCATCAACTGAACAATGAACAGAGATGAAGCCCCTTCTCCTGCCTATGAGGTTAAACTCTTCTTGGTAGATCAATAAGGCATGTAGTCTTTTAATTTTATCACAAATCTTTAATCAGATCATGAATGTAAATGGCCCTGTGAGAACACATTAGAGACATAGACAGGTCCAGATGGGAGGGATGAAATTTAAGATGCCATGGGATACCCATGTTCGGCATATAAGTACAGTGGCCCCTTGGGATTCATGAGAGATTGGTCCGAATATCCCCACAGACACACCAAAGTCGGTGAGTATTCCAAATCCCTCATATTAAATGGCATCAATCTAAATCACCTCTGGATTACCTCTAATATCTAAGACAATGTAAAAAGTGATGTAGACAGCTGTTACCCTGTATCATCAGACCGCAATGACAAAAGAGCCAATATGTAAACACTGTAGCTACGATTTCCCCCTCTGTGTTTGATTGGTTGAGTCCACAGATACAGGACCCAAGGATACATAAGCGGCCTGTGTGTCAAAGGTCATGGGCCTCTAGTAGAGGGGCAGCTAAGGAACTGACGAAGGAGCACGAGAGTCCTTCAGAGGAGAATGTGGGGTGGGACAGCAGTGACTGACAGGAAATCCACTCGCCTTTACTGACTGCCCTGTGATCATCTTCTATTCCTCCTCTTAGTAAGAGCCCAGCCCAAATGACTTAACAACCCTGAGATTAGAACCATGCTATAAAGGAGCCCGAGAGCTTTTTTGCCCAGCAGAAGCAGGCAATGCACTGCTCATCTTCAATGCCCACAGCCCTCTGGCATGGCTATCTCATCAAACATAGTGAAGGTTAAAAACTCAGAACAAAATCAAACCAGGATATGAGAAGAAAAAAAAAAAAGCAATCTCATCCTTTATTTAGGAAAATCCCAACAGGTCAAGTTTTTGTCCCTTAGGAAGACACAATTAAAAAGATCCCTCCTCTGGACTATGATGCCTTGGGAGGTGTGTGTCTTTTTTTGTTGTTTTTTAATGTTTTTCCTGAATATATGTCTGTGCAAAATGTGTGTGCCTGGTGCCTGCAGAGGCCAGACAAGGATGCCAGATGCCCTGGTACTGAGTTACAGAGTTGTTACCAGGCATGTGGGTCCTGGGCATCAAGTCTGGGTCCTCTGGAAGAGCAGCAAGTGCTCTTAACCATGAGCCACCTCTCTAGCCCCAGGTCAGTGTCTTTCCATTCATTTTTCTTTCCCTTTTAATTTCCCTTTTTAACAATTGAGTTCTCTATAGCAGAGTTGACTTTCAGCTCAGCTCTATTTTTAGCTTTGCCACAGGATATGTGTGAAGGGTCTCACATCCTATAGGCAAAAACAAGATGCCTAGGTTGTACAAAAGACTTCCAACCATGGATAATACTTAGAAGCTCAGCCACTGTTAGTGCCGAGAGCATTAACTGTCCACACTGGTGAACCTTCACAGCCTCTAGGTCCTCTAGAAACTAGCTGGAACACCAGTGAAGATAAATAAAAGTGTAAACAAACTCATCGGGAGGATTTGCTTTTCAACTGTATAACCGTGGGTTTTCAGCCACAACACCTATATAAATGTTAGCCGGGTTAACCCCAATCACACTGGGAGAGGAGTTTTTTGTTCAAAGGCTTTTGCTTTAGTGTTGGGCATCAAAGAAAAATAACCAGGAAACCACAGGCCCTCCAAAGATTGTGTGTGAGCCTGTTTTCTGTTACCTTAATAAAATACCTAAGTGAAAACTGTTATAACCCCCTGCCACCACCACCGTAAATGTACAAAACATATTGACAAAAGGAGGCTTTGAGAGATGGTGCAATTTACCCACTGTGGTAACACTGCAAAGTAGGAGAGAGAGAGAGAGAGAGAGAGGGAGAGGGAGAGGGAGAGGGAGAGGGAGAGGGAGAGGGAGAGGGAGAGGGAGAGGGAGGGAGGGAGAGAGAGAGAGGGGGAGGGAGGGAGAGAGAGAGACTGACTGACTTATCCCAAACTACACTCACTGTGTGATCACCACCAGGACAAAAGAGGGGACCATAAAGCATCCTCTCTCGACCACCGACCTGCCCGCCCCCAAAGGCCGCCACCATCCCATGTTCTAAGACTACGGCTCCTTTTGACAACTGAGCATTTTCACGGAAGTAGGGTCACAAAGTGCGTGTGTATTTACACCCAGCTTCTGATGTGGTCAAGTGACTGAGTCTCCTTACATTTCACTCACCACTGCTGTGGGATGGTCTGTATGTCAAATGTGTTGCTGATTGGTCAATAAATAAATCACTGATTGGCCAGTGGCCAGGCAGGAAGTATAGGTGGGGCTAACAGAGAGGAGAATTGAGAGAACAGGAAGGCAGAAGGAAGGCACTGCCAGCCACCGCCATGACAAGCAGCATGTGAAGATGCCGGTAAGCCACGAGCCACATGGAAAGGTATAGATTTATAGAAATGGATTAATTTAAGCTATAAGAACAGTTAGCAAGAAGCCTGCCACAGCCATACAGTTTGTAAGCAATATAAGTCTCTGTGTTTACTTGGTTGGGTCTGAGCGGCTGTGGGACTGGCTGGTGACAGATTTGTCCTGACTGTGGGCCAGGCAGGAAAACTCTAGCTACACACCACCACTCAGCAAATGTTTTCTTCTTCTCCTCACCACTCAGCTGTGACACTTGTATGTCTGTGTGGGTGTGCTTCTGCATATGTAAGTGCGTGTGTGCATGTGTATGTATGGAAGACAGAGGACAAGTGTGGGTGCTGTGCCTCAGGAGCCCACCCACCTTGGTTTTTGACCTCACCTATTCAGGCAGATGGTCAGGGGTCTCGGCCCACCAGCATGCCGATCACTCTCTGTGATCCTAAAATCTGTGAGAGGTGGAGCCTTCCTTAAGAGGCAACTATTCCAGATCCTTTAGCCCCCTTTGAAGTCCCCTTAGAGACACGGTTCTCAACCTTCCTACTGCTGCGACCCTTTAACACAGTTCCTCATATTGTGGTGACCCCAAATTATAAGATTATTTTCATTGCTACTTCATAACAGCAATTTTGCAACTATTATGAATCATAATGTAAATATATCCTATGCAGGATATCTGACATTAGACCCCTGTGAAAGGGCTGTTCAGCTCTAAAGGGGTCTCAACCCACCGGTTGGGAAACATTGCCTTCGAGTCTCTAGTTCCCACTCTGTAACACACATAGCTCATGTTTGCCAAAGGAGAATTGACACTCACGTTGGGCTCTGAAACTTCAGCTGTATCCTGTCCAGCAGCCATGAGAACTGGAGGGCATGGGGACAACCTGAGTCTAGGCAATACGGCTTATACTTCTCCATAATGCCTAGAGAATGGCGGGGGGGGGGGGGCACAGTGAGGTGGCCAGGGAGCCTTCTAAGAAAACATGTCGGGTGTATGACATGCAGCTGTAGTCTTGGTACTTAGAAAGCTGGGGCAGGAGGGTCACCAGGAGTTCAAGGCCAGCCTGGGCTACAGAGTGAAACCCCGTCAAAGGCAAAATGAAAGGACCATGAAGAGGAGGAAAGAGAAGAGGAAAAACCACCTTTCTTTGGCCTCTCGGCCTGGTCACCTGCTCTCCCTGCCAGTGTGTGGAAGGAGCGGGAGAACCATTCTGGTGTATTCCTGGTGGGAAAGTTTTACTCACAGAGTTGGGGTGAATCTGTCAATAAATTGGTCACAGTGATTTCAAGTCATTTTTGTAGAAGAGCAAGTGTGGACATATTCATAAGGTTGTAGACTTATACACACTCTAGATCTGAGATTTTAGGATCACAGAGCGTGATCGGTGTGCTGGGAGGCTCTGAGATTTAGCTGCTTTGGGGACTTGAACTCTCTCCTGGGTCCAGTATCTGCTTTTCTTAGCAGTGAGGGGAGCTCAGAGGGGAGGGTTGAGTGGGACATGCATGGCGACATGATGGTTCTGCAGTGCACACGGCTCTGCGGGGAGCACCCCCTCGCCGATAACACACTGGTAGGCACAAGGCTTTGGCTGCCCGGTTCCCACCAGCGAGTGCTTGTGACATTGCTAGTTCGTCACCGCTGCCACTTCTAAGGTTCACAGACTGAAACCACGCAAGGGACAGTCACCCATCACGCCCGTGGCCCTAATCCCACCCCACACTGCCTTGAGTTCAGAACACATCAATGACCCTGCAGCACCCCCCACACACACATACGCTACCCTCACCCAGCCCCAGCCAGTGGCAGCTGAGGAAGGGGGAAGGGAGGGACCCCCCTCTCCCCCCCCCCTTCCTGAGCCTGTTTGATATTCCCAGGAGGAAGCCACAGTGGGCAGAATCCTTAGCTGAACCTGCCTGGCTGCCCTCAAGGCAGAACAGCCAGGCAGGGAAAACAGGCACCAGCCCCCAAACCCTCACACTGCGAGGGAGGGGGGGGGGCACGGGGTACCCTCTGCTGCCCCACCCATGGGGAAGCCATGCGGTCATGAGAGAAGAGGAAGCTGTGATGCCAGGTTTTGGACTCATCCATGAACAAGCAGTCTGGAGTGGTTGGAGCAAGAGGACGGCCCTACCTCATATCCACTACCAGCTAATGACTCTATGTAAAGACGGCTGAGGAAACGTCCGGGTCTCGGGGTCAGAGCCCCAGGGAGTGAGACTGAAGGAAGAGGACAGAGGAAGGAACTCAGAAGGAGGGACCAAGATGACTCAGGTGGCGTCCAGACAAGCTTCCGGTCTCCCACAGTTCTAGGGCGTCCAGACTTACAGGAATAGCCTAAACCATATTAAAATCACGAAAAAGGGGATCAAAGACAGCCCCTTACATACATACATGGATGGAAAACTGGGGTTTAATGTGAGAGAAGCCTTCCCCGCAAGATAAATGCAGACACACATTCAGCCCCACAGATGTCTATACCTTGGGCCTCCTTAGAACTGCCCTGTGTCTGACTTCTCAGAGTTCTGCCCAAGAAGGGCCCCACAGGAAGTGAGGCGGGGCAGGACAGTGGGCCAGCTCCCAGTGCCCAGCCTCTCCCAGTTTCTGCTTGATCAACAGAGACTGCTATCAGATGAAATGAGAAACCACGCAACCCCACAGAAGTAGCCAGAGACTTGCAAAAGACCCGGTGACTCAGTGCCAAGGGCCGAACACGCTGTCACCTGTCCAAAAGTCCCAGACTAGGTAAGAGGTGACACCTGCTGCCTCCTCAAGGGTGACCCCCTTCCCAGAGGATACTCAGGCTGATGGGGGGATCTTTAAGCCAAAGGCGGGGATAAGAACATAAGGAAAACACCAAACTGGGGGCTGGAGAGATGGCTCAGCAGCAAACTCATATACTGAGTTTGACTCCCAGCACCTGAGTTAAGTGGCTCACAAACACCCATAACTCTAGTTCTAGGAGATCCACCCTCTCTTGGCCTCTGAAAACACCGGAATTCATGTGCACATATCCCCCTACACAGACATATACAAATAATTTTTGTTGTTGTTGTTGTTTGGGGGTTTTGTTTGTTTGTTTGTTTTTTGAGACAGGGTTTCTGTATATAACAGCTCTAGCTGTCCTGGATCTCGCTCTGTAGACCAGGCTGGCCTCGAACTCACAGAGATCCACCTGACTCTGCCTCCCAAGTGCTGGGATTAAAGGTGTGCACCAACCACCACCTGGCTAATTTTTTTAATCTTAAAAAATTAAAAAACCCAAAACCAGAGGGCGGGAACAATCTCTGAAGGAGGCATGGAGCCAGATTGAGACAGAGCAGCTGGGTGGGGACCCAAAACAGGTGCTACATGGGGTAGGCTGCTGGTAGGGAAGGTGTATGGAAGACTGAACAGAAGCTGAGTACCAGGGGCAGATGCCACCCACACCAGTGCCATCCAAGGCAGGAGAGACAATGATAGGAGCATGAGACACGTCAACTTTCCCATTCTTCCCAAAGCAGAGGGCACTCTTCCCGGAATTCCAGCCACAAGGCTGCAAGAGGTGTGGGTGCAAAATAGCCCTTTGAGGATCTATAGGATCCAAGACAGAGGTGGGCCTCACTAGCAGGCAGATTTACCAGCCACAGCCCACATGTGCAGCTGCTAGCCACCAGGACTCTCCCTCTCCTCACAGAGCCCAGCCCCAAGTCCTCTGGCTTTGTCCCTTATCACTGGCCCTGGGGCAGACTCCAGTCCCTACTTGGCACTCTGTGAAGTTCCAGACCAGAAAGAACTCCAGAGCAATCACCTCGTGGACTGATGGGTGAAGCCAGGCCTCCTTTGGCTCTCTGGGGGACTAAGCTTCGAGCTACACTGGCCTGGGCTGCTTTGGGGTGGCGGGGACGGGGGGGGGGTGCTCTTACTGGGTATCCAGTGGGGTCTAGAGTCTGGATAGTGATATTCTTCTGGGTGGATGCTCCGTGGTCCCGAACCAGTGAGCAAATGTGTGTCAGATAAATGACTGTAAAAAAAACGTAGGAGGCTTGAAGACATTTGGAAGTAAGAGACACTTCGCCATGACTGAAACCTTGGAAAGCCAGACATGTGAAAGCTAACAGAATGGCTACCTCAGATGTCTTTGTGCCAGAAGGACTTCTACGGGGTTAACAGGCACAGACCCCTGGATGGGTTTAATGTCTTAGTATCATAATTACAGGAAACAAATCCGCTGAGGTCTTGATTCAGTTTGGCCTCTCTAATTCTACACAACGTGGTTTCCTTGTTGAAGCTCACAGTAGCACCGTGAGGTAGCTGCTGTGTCCATTTCAAAGGGAAGTCACAAAACCAGGCTTGGTGGCACATGTCTGAAGTCCCAGCACTCGGGAAGATCAGAAGTTCAAGGCCATCCTGAGATGCCCAAGCCCCTGTCTATAGGAGGAGGAAGTCTTGCTGGGCTAGAAATGCAGATCGGTTGGCAGAATGCTTGCCTGGCATGTATAGCACCCAGGTTCAACCCCCAGGCTGCATAAAAACGGGATGTGGTGGTGTGGGGCCATGGTAGCAGGAGGGTAAGTTGTAGGCTAGCTTTGGCTACACAGGGAGTTTGAGGCCAACTGGGGGTCCATAGTGAGTCAAGGCCAGTCTGGGCCACAAATCGTCTGGTTTCCAGGTAATAAATATAAAAGGGAGGATACTGGTTAGAGGAGGTAGGGCCTTGCCCACGGGTACCCAGCAGTGAGTGGCAACACTCAGAGGCCCATACCTACAACTGCTTTTTACCAGCCAGCTGTGCTTGTAATCCTTTTATCACTGCTTTGATTTGCTTCTATAAGCAAGGCTATGAGGCCATCTGACTCTCTGTTTGTGTGTGCTACCCAGCTTTACAGGCTGGTCCAGAGCTCTGGCAGTCCCACATGGCTCCTCTGCCATACACCCACCTCCCACACAATGCTGACACCAACAAAATCATCAGATGGATCTTCAGCGGCTGGAAACTGCCCGGGAACTGTGAGAGGCACCCAGCAGGCATCTTTTGGCACAGGACTTCCATCTGGGAGACAAGCTAGGCATTGATTCCCAGATGACCCTGGGCACCAGAGGAGAAAGGAGGTCTCTGTGGGGGGGGAGCAAGTGTCCCAAGGCAGCTCTAGCAACTAAGAAAGTGAGGAAGTAGCCCCGAGAACCAGATTTTAGTGTCACTGGGTTGGGTTGAAGCAAGTGCCACAGAGGAGGACACAAATGCTGTCACCATCAAGATTCAAGTGACAAGTATACACAAGGGCATTTAAAAACACACTACAGACAGCCATTGTATTGGGTACAGTGGTGGTAGCAACCTAACCAAGCTCAAAGTCAACATGGAGTCACTCATGCTAAATGTCCAAGTCACCATGCTGACACCTGAGCTCTAACCATCAGAGAAGCCGAGATGAGAGAGAATCGAAATGACAGGCTCCCTCTGCTGTAAGCCTCACTGGGAAACTAGGACATCGCCAGTTTTTCTCTTAAGGCTGCACTGGTGCATCCTGGGAAAGGGACTAAACAGACCCGCTTGGCTTTTTATTGATTTTTGGTGTCATTTTGACTTTCTTATTCCCTTTTTCTTTTTGTTTATTTTTTTGGGGGACAGGGTCTCTCTGTGTAACAGCCCTGGCTGTCCTGGAACTCTTGCTATAGGCCAGGCTGGCCTCGAACTCAGAGATCCGCCTGCCTCCATGTCACACTAACCACCTTCGGCCTGTTTCCCGTCCCATACTTTCCGTCACACGCATCACTGTCTGAACCCTCAGTCCTTTCTGATCTTCTAAAGGTTTGTTTCATCTCGAGCTTTCAGGAGTCCTATGTGTACAGGGCTGCAGCCATGGCTCTGTGGGAAAGGTACCTGTCAAAGCAGCGTGAGGACCCAGCACCCACATTTAGACCCCCAAGGAGTGGAAGACCCCTCATGTAGACCTCTGGCCTACACACACACACACACACACACACACACACACACGCACACGCACACGCACACGCACATGCACAAATATACACACGCTTTATATTCTGCTTGAATAGGGTGTAGAACATTCCTCACAGCACAGAAAGTTCCTCCATGAAACAACCTAGATTCAAAAATTTTAAAAAAGCAAAAAGTTCTCCTTTCCATGCTCTTTTTTTCCCTTTGTGGAGTTAATGAGCATGGCCCCCTGAAGCTACTTAATAGGACCAATATCTAGAAAAAGATACTGATGGAATGGGGGAGACAGTGGGAGGGATGAGCATGACATCACAGTTTAAAACAGCATCCTCTAGCTGGTCATGGGGACACATACCTGTAATCTCAGCACTGAGAGGCTGAGGCAGGAAGACTGAGTTCTGAGCTAGCTTGGGCTATCCAAAAATGAATCAGTCTAAAAATAAACCAAGCTGGGGCCAGGTAGTGGTGGCGCACGCCTTTAAACCCAGCTCTCGGGAGGCAGAGGCAGGCAGATCTCTGTGAGTTCGAGGCCAGCCTTGTCCACAGAGTGAGTTCCAGGACAGCCAGGGCTACACACACACACACACACACACACACACACGCACATGCACACGCACACGCACACGCACACGCACACACAAAAGGCTGGGGCTGGAGAAATGACGAAACGGCCCAATGGTTCAGAGGATGTACAGCTGCTGCAGAGGAGTTCAGTTCCCAGCACCCACACTGAGTGGCTTACAACTGCTTATATAGCTCCAGCTCCAGAGGATCTGATACCTCTGGCCTCCTCAGGCATCTGCATGAACATATCCCCACATAGACATGTGGCTAAAAATAATAAAAATTAAGAGAGCGGAGGTGCAGAGTGGAGATGCAGCCATGTCCCCTGAGCTGGCAGGCGTCACTGTCGAGACAAGGCCCAGGTAGATGCATGCCACTAGATCTCCGCAGAGAGGACCGGAGAGGCAGGCACAGGAGGGTTTGAGGGGCTCTCAAGCCTCCTCCATATGCCCCAGGCCCCCCGAGTTCCCTGGGCTCAGGGGTCCCTCCTCTTTTTCTCCACCAGGAACTAAGCACCAGAGACCTCAATGATTGGACAAGAACTGGCAAAGAAGAGCTAGGAAGACCATACAATATGGCGGCCGGCGAGGCACCCCGAGGGTAGATCTAGACGTGTGATGACAGCTGTCGGGGGCTGGGTCGTTTGCCCAGCCTCCTCAAAACTTCATTTTCTGGCACGTAAGAAAGAATAGTAAGAGAGCCCCCCTTCTTCCGTCCTAGTTCGCTTCCGGATGCTACGATAAACACTGCGACCAAAATCAGCTTTGGGGAGGGAAGGGTTGGGCGCACCGGTTACAGGCCACCACTGGGGAAAACCGAGGCAGGACCTGGAGCAGAGAACACAGAGAAATCCCGCCTACTGGCTCGCTCAGCTTGCTTTCTGATACAAGCCAGGACCGTTTTCCCGGAGAGGGGGGGTACTGCCCACAGTGGGCTGGGCCCTCTCAAATCAATTATCCATCAAGAAAATGCCCCCACACTTGCCAACAGGCCAGGCTGATGGAGGTGAGCCTCTGCTCACGTGACTCTAGTCACCCTCCTAAATAGCAGTGGTTCTCAATCTGTGGTTCGGGACCCCTGCGGGGGCCGCATAGCAGATGTTTACGTTAGGATTCGTAACAGTAGCAAAATCACAGTTATGAAGTCGCAACAGAGTAACGTTGTGGTTGTGGGGGTCCACCACAACATGAGGAACTGCATCAAAGGGTCGCAGCGTTAAGAAGGTTGAGAACCACTGCCCTGCGGGGTGACTGAGTCACTTGACTCATGTCGGGGACATGCCCCATCAGTGCAGACAAGCCTGTGGCATGGCTGAATAGGGGTTACAAAGACCCAGAGACCCCGGCTGGGGTGTAACTCAGTGGGCAGAGTGCTTACCCAGCATGCAGAAAGCCCTAGACTGGACTCCCCCAGCGCTGACTGGTGGCACACACCTGTCATCTCAGCACTCCAGCAGTGGAGGCAGGAGAATCAGAAGTTCAAGTTCATTCCCTTTTAAAAAGCAAGTAAGTTCACCACCAGCTTGGGACAGATGAGCCCCCCCCCCCCACCGTCTCTAAAACATAAAAACAAAACTACAGATGCACAACTCCTTCACTAAGTGTGACGAGAGATGCAGAAAGACCACATTACCATGCCCGCTGCCTTGTCAGCCCTGAGGGCTGCCACGCTCATTTGGAGATGCTTCCAGGAAGCACACAGTGCTGCCCCATTAGATCTAGAGGTGGGATTCGGTGAGAATAGAGCAAAGATGTGCTCCCATGGAGGACGAACGTGTGCTAGGTACTAACACTTGCCAGGCAGGAAGACAGGCGCTAACACAGGCTGACAAAAGCCGCTGACTGGGCAGGGCGCTCACCTGGACAGCCACCAAGGGGTAGACTGTCACTGTGGAGGTGTGAAGGCCGCCACCAGCCCCAGTGTTTGGTGCAAATGCAGGAGGGCTCTGGGGTAGGACCAAATAAGCCCTCAGGAGGCCAGCAGATGTTTCTGACCTCTGATTGTGCACTGCTTGGAGATGGAGAAGGCTTAGTTTCCTGTGAGCCCCGGGAAGGGACAGGGCTCCAGGGAGCCAAACTGGAGGCCCCAGGTCCACACTACACCAGATGTTGGGAAGCCCAGAGGAACTGCCATAGGCATGTTCTGGGAATGGAGATCTGGTTGTCAATCTCAGGAATCGTTTTGTTTGGGCTTTTTTCTCTCCCTATGACATGAAAATCCGAAAGAATCCACATATGGTTGGAAATCATCAGGTCTGGAAAATTAAGGGCTGAGCCTCTGATTTCAGTGGCATGAAACTCACTGGAGCAAACTGGAGGAACCCCGAGGACAGGTCAGCTAACTTAGACACCAGCCACGGAGCACAAGTTTGTTAGAGACCACCGCACCCGCCCCTTCCCTCGGGCCTTACTGGTCACTCAGAACCCCTTTTTCTCCTGAGGCTGAGAGTCCAGGACAAGGCTTGTCCTGGTGTGACTAACATACTGTCAGGGCCTGTCTGACACAGAGACCGGTTGGGACATCCAAGGAACACTTGCTGAAGGAATGATAAGTCACTAAAATATAATATATGTCACAAGACACACCAAAGCTAGTCATTTATAACTGTAAAGAAAGTCGTTTTCTAAAGTATTTAAATTTTGGCATTGTAATTTCATATTACACTTGATTTGCTGTTTTATAGTGTCTTTATTATCTTTCTATTTATTTATCTATCTATCTATTTATTTATTGCTGGTTTTGTTTTGTTTTTCAAGACAGGATTTCTCTATATAGCCCTGGTTGTCCTGGAATTTGCTCTGTAGACCAGGCTGACCTCAGACTCAGAGATCTGCCTGCCCCTTCCTATCCCTTCCCCACCCCCCACCCCACCCTCGTCACCCTAGTGCTGGGATTAAAGGTGTGTGTGCCACCACCACCCAACGGCTGTTTTACATGGCATCCTAAATCATCATGCAATTCCATGGGAATGTAGTACCAAGCAATTCTGAAAAGGAGAAGGGTGACAATCCTTAACTCTTGGGACACTTCAGAGTCTATAAAGTCCTTCCGTTGAGATTCCAGTGGCTTCGAGAGAGACAGAGATGACAGGGACAAATTTATTGAGAGGTAAATGTGGAGGCTGATGTCATCAAGCAGCTTCACCAAGGGAAGAAAAAAATAAATGAAAATGAGAAGGCAAGAGGCCGGTTGCCCCTACGCATTCGCCCCGTGACTCTTAACAGAGAAATGTGCCGGAACACAGTCTCCCCTCGCTGTGGGACACTTGGACCAGTCTACCGGGCAGAGGGGCTCTGCTCCAATACAAGATGCCCACTGGGTGATTCAGCCCCCTCCTGATGAGTGACCCTGTAGGATGCAGGAGACGGGTTGACTGTGGAATAACCAAGGAGGTCAATGTACCTGGAAAATGGTTTCTGTCTCCTCGTAGGGTGGGGAGAACTAACCAGTGTTTTCAGAGCGAGCTGTAGCTCTTTCCATGTCATCTCTGCCCTGGAGGCTGTCCAGTGAGCAGCTGTCACAGCATCCGGCTCGGGCAGTTTTCCCCTCTGCCAATCTTCGCTGGTTGCTACGATTCCAAACCCCTACAGGGAGATGCTGTCTTGCTTAAGAAGATTGTGACACTGGACCTGTCCCCCCCAGCTCCACCCACGGGAGTCAGCTGCCTGGGAGGCATAATCTGGCATGCTCCAGGAAGGCCTCCCATGGCCAAGCCAGCTTCCTACTACTCCTCACTGGGGCCTGGAATTCTGTCACAAAAAGTATAAGTTCACTCCTGTGGCACTCAATTACTTTTCTGAAGAGCTCAGGGTGTTGTGGGAAGACACAATCAGATCAGCAGTCAGGGAGCAGAGTCCTGAGGGGCTGGAGAGATGGGCTGCTGGGTAAGTGCTTGACATGCAAGCCTGAGGATGTGAGTTCGAATCCCCAGAACCTATATAAATCTGGACCGGCAATACAAGTCTGTAACTCCAGAGTTCCTATGGCCAAGTGGGAAAGAGAGCTGAGAGAATACCATGGAAGCTCATGGGCAGCTAGGGTTAGGATTCTGCCACTCCTCCAGCTATATGACCGACCACACATGCGCAGACCGACCACACATGCGCAGTTCATAGCTAAGCAAGCGGTCTCAGTCTTACCGCATCAGTGAGCTACGTGATTATGCAATCTGCACATGCATGGCGTAGCTCCGTAAGCCCACATGCGCATGTGCAGGGAAATCCTTAAAAGGCCGGTCACAGACTCCTCCCCTCTCTTTCTCCCTGCACACGTTTTCACAGGCCTGGTCACTCTCTTCTGTCATTGTCCCCGTCCCCCACCCCCCACCTCCCACCCCACCCACCCCCGTCCTCTTAATAAAGCTCTGATCCTGGGTTTTGTCGTGCCTCACACGTGACCTTTCTCACAGGGTAACAAGCTCCACATTTAAAACCAACAGCTACTGTGGTGTACATAGCCAAAGACAGACAGACAGACATGGAGGACTGATACCCAAGCACGACACTGTGGCACGTGCACAGTACCTACCACTCATGAAAATGATTGCAGAGAGAGAGAGACAGAGGGAGGGAGAGACGGAGGGAGGGAGGGAGGGAGGGAGGGAGGGAGGGAGGCAGGGAGAGCTGAATTAGGGGTCTCCTGTGTTGACTGGCTGCTGGCTGCACTTTTGCTAGCCTGGAACAAACCCATTCTATCCTCCCTCTCCCTCCCTCCCCCCTCCCTTTCTCCCTATCTAAACTGGCGACATTAATGCCCGGCTCACAGGGCCACTGTGAGTGAAGTCCAGAGGGAATGAGTAGGAGGTTGAGGAACTGTAAGAGGCCCAGTTATCACTAAATGATAGCCCCGGCAGTACAATCCCAAGTGGGATTAGCTGATGGCCCACCCCCAGGCCCAGGCAAGTATCAGAGGGGAGAGAAACTTCCAGAAGAGGAAAGGGGAGGGGAGCCCTGACTGACAGCATGACTACTAGAGTTTTGACTTGGGAAGGAGCTGCACAGAGCTGAATACCTGAGGACCTGTGCGGCTCAGCGGAACTCAGCCTCGACGCCTGGAGTTAAGGCTGGTGGAAGCCGTTAGGTAAACCTCTCTCTGTCTGCACAGACCATCTCTCAGGTGATAGAGACAGAGAGGCCCAGTCTTGGCAGGAACCACCCATGCACGTCAGACCAAGTAATTGCTTTCTTTGTCAGAGTTTCCTGGATCATTTCCTCTCCTTTGTTTGGCTGACAGAGCCTGGCCTCGCATCTGGGAGTCTGTTTGCCAGACATGATTGGATCCCTAGAGGTGGGAGACACAGGCCGAGCTGCTTTCCATAAGCACACTGGCACACGTATTCATTATTACAAGGGGGAAATGGGTGCCTATGTTTCATCTGGGAGGTAGCAGGGACATGTGAGGGAGAGAGAGACAGAAGATGGCTCCCTGTGGGGCCACACTAGATGTCTCTCATCAGGAACCCACATGGATGCTTGGTTCCCGGCATTTGACATTAAAAAAAAAAAGATGTCATTACATCTCCATTGGGGCCCTGGAGGCAGAACCCGGGGATGGAGAAACTGGGACTCAGAAGCCAAGCATTAATGACACCGTGGCATGCTCTGCCTCTTACAGGATCAACAAACTGAGCAAACCGAGCAAACCGAGCAAGCCCAGCGAGCTTTCACTTCGATTCCGTGGGGGTGGCAGTGGCCTCTGGCTGCGCTGAAAGAGTTCACTGTGGTGACTATGAAACAGTTGACATACAGCAGGCCTGGGGACAGGTGGCACTTGTGTCATCCCTGACAGACCAGGACACCAAGGAGCAGGGACTGTAGACCCCTTAGTCAGCTTCACCTTGTTCGGCACAGAGTTGGGTACCGCCCTCTTGAGGCAGGGTCTGAGTTCAGGAAATACGAAGGCAACTGAACCCAGCCGTCCCCCCTACCCCACCCCAGCTGTGACACAGCCACTGGGTAGACTCTCCTCCCCAGCCTCTGAGCCTCCAGAGGGCAAGAGCCGAGTCAGGCTTCTGCCACCACCACCCCAGCATCTCTCACATGGAGCCCACATGCGCAGTAGATAGGGTGAAGGAGCGTCTAGAACAGGTTGGTGAAGCTGTGTTAAGAAAAGCATATCAGAGCCGGGCAGTGGTGGCACACACCTTTAATCCCAGCACTCGGGAGGCAGAGCCAGGAGGATCTCTGTGAATCTGAGGGCAGCCTGGGCTACAGAGTGAGTTCCAGGACAGGCTCCAAAGCTACACAGAGAAACCCTGTCTCAAAACAAATGAAAGAAAGAGAAAGAGAGAGAGAGAGAGAGAGAGAGAGAGAGAGAGAGAGAGAGAGAGAGCGAAAGAGAGAAAGAAAGAAAGAAAGAAAGAAAGAAAGAAAGAAAGAAAGAAAGAAAGAAAGAAAGAAAGAAAGAAAGAAGCATATCAGGCCCCTGCAATGTGCCTCTTCCATGCCTTCAATCCCCTCGCTCTACAGCGGAATTGTTCAAACGCCTTCACGCAGCCCAGACTGGGGACCCACAAGGAAACTCGTGACTTGAAATATTAGGAAGATTAAACAGGATGCAGGGTCGGCACGTGCTTACACTAAACTGAAGGGATGAAAGGGAGTGTTGTTTATCTCAACAGAAGAACGCTGGGACAGGAGGTGCCGGGGTCCCACCCGAACATCCCTGGGAACAAAGGCCAGGGAAGAACCCAGTTAACGTGGGACACCACGGGCTCAGAAGGACAGCATCTGGACCGGCCCCTTCCTCTCCCACCTGTTTCCCATGTACAGGTATTGATTGTTTTTTGCAATTCTGGAGAACCCAGGGCTTTGTACTAACAGGTAAGCACTCTACCACTGAGCAGCATTCCTCAGCCCTATCCCTTTTTGCTTTTTTTTTTTTTTTGGTTTTTTGAGACAGGGTTTCTCTGTGTGGCTTTGTGCCTTTCCTGGATCTTGCTCTGTAGACCAGGCTGGCCTCGAACTCACAAAGATCCTCCTGCCTCTGCCTCCCGAGTGCTGGGATTAAAGGCATGTGCCACCACCGCCCGGCCCTTTTTGCTTTTTATTTTAAAGACTGTCATCAGGTTACCCAGGCTCACCTTGAACTCACTCTGCAGCCCAGCCAGATGTTAGTTATGCTCCTGCCTCAAATCTAGCTCCTAGCTGGGATTACAATCCTTTGCCACCAGGCCTGGCTCACAGCACAGGGAATGAGCTCCACAGGCCCCCAGGTACCTCCAATGAGGGCAGGTGTGTAGGAGGAGTTCTGGCTTCTTGGCCTAATCTTTGCCTCTATTTGGACGCCATGTTTCTTCCAAGAGACAAAGGCCTCAGTCAGGTTTTTAATAGGCTAGAGTTCCCAACACTCTTGCCCAAGTCCCCAAGCAGCTCACTTGGCCATCCGCTTCTGCCTCACCCGTCTGTCTTGGCACATGGTACCTGAGGTATCGTGCCACATGGTTGGAGTCATGTGCCAGCAGTACCTGAGTTCATATACTGGAACATTCTGGAAGATCTTCTAGGCTCCCTGATGAGAACCTGAAGTTTCCCTCCACCTCTGAAGTATGCAGACTGGTTTTCCAGAGCCTGCCCACCAGTGAACTGGTGTAGTTTGATCCCCTCCCGGCTGAAGGCCAACCTTGTGCCTCCAGGGAAATCCTCAGTCCCTGACCCTTGACACAGCTCAAACCCCAGAGGCCCTAAGCAAGCCTGCTGGGAGAATCACACTCCAAGTGACCACTGCTGAAAGGCCTTCTTCAGAGGGT